CGCACAGCTGTGGTTCCTGAGGACCAGGATTGAGATTCATGTAGAATCTAGTTTGACACCCAGGTAAAGTGAAATGAGTCAGATTAACAACATTTTAATAAGTTATATTGATTGTTTAACAGAGTAAACCGGGGAGGAACACATCATAATAACTATGTGAACTTTAAGAATATTGTACACAGTAGAACATGAAGGTTCAGTTCAGTTCTGTGATGTTAATACATGTTAATGAACAATTAATACATGAGATTATGGTCAAATGGCTAATATTCACATCCAGTCCCACCAACAGGTTGGTGTTAAAAGGCCCATCAAACATAATAAATAAGACAAAAAAAAACAAGCAAATGTAATACTGGTAAGTAAACAATGTTTAAAGAACCATAAACCCTAATGGTAAATGTTTAGTCATGGTCATGTTGATATTTTTGTCTTTCCAGAGCCAGATTTGTAGTTTTCTACCATGAAGTATTTTATAAAACAAGACAGAATCCTTATATTTTACAATATAGTTCCAACTTAGCTGCTCATGGTCTTGGAACGTCTAATGATGGAACAATTTGATATTTTTAGTTAATACTTTAAACGTTTGTTTATGAACCGTTCCATTTTACAGTTGGTTTGCAAGCCCATTTCCTCTATGCATAATATATATGTGATTACATATGTATAGTATACAACATGATATGTCACAAAAATATGTTTGTGCTCTCTGAAGCTAAATTACTTCTAATAAATTAAAATGGATTCTCATTCTGTTTCACCTGCTGTTTGATACAAACTTGTAAATTGATACCTAAGTATTTCAATTATTGTGCTATTTCTTAAATACAGTACAGGTAATATTATTTTACTTGAGAAATAAGGATGCTGCTTTTAAATTACAGATTATTTAAGTTTGTTCTTCTCAGATTTAGTAGAGCCATTTCATGAGATCTCTAATCTACTCGTTGTTTCTCTGATGATCCACACGGCTTGGCGATTATCCTCCATATTGCAGTTGTTTTAAATTGTGAAGGAATTACCTATGAAGTTAGAGAGTGGAGGGGGGAAAAAAAAGGAACAAATAGGAAGTCTTACACAGGGATTAGGGCAATTTGTGAAAAAGAATGACAAATTGATTATCAAAGTTTTTCCAACCTTTCCTCCAGGCCGAACATCATACACGACACAAGTAAAGGTTCTGCTTTCGTTCAGGTCCAAACTTTGGTTTCCACTTCCATTATACCTCCTAACATGAAATAACTAAAATGTCATGATCCGTGGTTTTCTGTTTATTTTGAGTTTTTCTGTGTTTATTGTTATCCTGTTCCCTGTGAGTCTGTCTCTGCGTTTTCCCCGTTGATTGTCTCCCAGGTGTGTCTCGTCCCATTGATTACCCCGTGTGTATTTAAGTCCACCTGTAGTCTCTGTCTCTTGTCAGATCCTCGTCGTTGTTAGCGCCATTCGTCGTGTCTTACGTCAGTCAGCCAGTTTCCTCAGTTGAACTGTATAGTCCTGAGGTTTCTTGTGTCAGTCTTCAGTCTTTATGTCAGTTGCTACCGGTATTAGCTGTGTGCTAATTTGCTGCCGTGCTGCCTGTCCTGGACTGTGAATTTATCATTAAACTATCATCTTCACCATACCTGGGTCTCTGCGTTTCTCCTCACCACCCCCAACCGCAACTTATGACATAAAAAATCATTCTGAAAAACAACAACCTGTTGCTTCCCAATTTAGACGCAGACTAATACAAACAGATTGGGAGACATTTTGAAACTACTACAATTATAGATATTTACAGCAATTAAGCTGTTCAATAAGAGGAATTTTACCCATCAAACTACTGGACATTAGATCTGAATTTGTTAAGCACGGTACACTAATGATCTGGATGTATGAGTCTCATTAATTTGAAAAAAGAACATCGACCAGACAGCACACAAGCTTTGGCTATTAATGTCATATTGTAAAGTATTTGTTAAAATTGTATTTCCACACCAAAAGATGCAAAAATACATAGTACGTTGACAAAAAGCAAAAACAATCCATGATCAAAAAGACAGCACTTTTGGTAGCAACTTAGTTGCTACTTTTTGATTCCCTAATTTTATTGAAGAGATCTTTCAGAGTCTTTCTCCGGATCTTTTTCTGCACTCACATATAGGCCTAAGGAAATGGGCAATATCTAAAAGGCATGTCTTTAAAAAATAGGAGGAAAACCTGATGCGTCATCATAATTTGCTGTATATAAGCTGTTCAGATTGTAGCACTTCAGGAAACGCCTTGTTGGTGGTACAGAGTTGTCATATTTGATAAAGTGTTTTATCTTTGGTACTTTTGATTAAATTTGAGAAATCGTCTGTCCCTGGCAGGCTGTCAGTATCAAATCAAAATGCCCAATTTGCCTAATTTAAAAATAATCTTTTGCAGCTTGTGGAGGCTTTTTATATGAAATTATTTTCCCAGAGATCAGATAGGGGAACATCAGAGATCTTGGAAATATTTACAACTTTGCTAATAATCGACATGGGTGTTGTAGTCTCCCACAATAATTAAACAGTCCTAATCAATCCATGTAAGATATAAGAGCTCACTAAGATCATTGAAAATGTTTTTCAATGACTTGCTCGTGTTACCCTGCTACCTTGGATGGCTGAGGGTAATGTAAAAGATGATCTTCCCTCAACATGTGATGCTGTGCCCAAGCTTCTCTATGCAACCAACGCGGCAGCGCCTCTAGCGGTTTCTGTGTGGAATTGCATAGGACTAACTAAAATGACTAAAGAACTTCTTACAACGAGAAATTAAAGATACAAGAATAAAAATTATGTGGGGGTGCCTATATTCTTAAGTATTGCTTTAATTTACTATTGACTTGTTTTTCACCCCTCTACACTCGCTCATGGCATTTTATCTGGATTCACAGGAAAACCCTTTCACAGTTAGGTGAATCATAAAGTATTTTAATTTTAACTCTAATGCTATGGAGAATTACTCACCTGTAGAGGCCGAAGACTAGTCTGATGCAACACAAAAGCAATACAGTGGCAGGTGACAGAATGAAAAAAATATACCTTGAGAAATTAACATCTGAAAGAAAGAAGAGAATTAGTGAAAAGCAGGTTCATTTTGAACTGCACAAGTTCAAAATGAAAAACAGACTGATACAGAAGTGATCAGTCTTTTTTTTTATCTCTACATACCTTGTTTGTTAGATACAGTTAAATTCCACGCCATGTTTCGAAAGCCTGCGCCATCAGTTACAGTGCATGTATACAGTCCTGAATCATCATGTTGAGCTCTAGAGATGCTGATCTTGGAAGGCATATTATAGTCTATTTTGACTCCTTCAGAGGAAAAATTTGAGAACGTCTGATTCGATGAGATGGAATATGAAAAATAATATCTGCCATTGCTCCAGCTGATTATCTTAGTGTCATTCTCAGATATGTTGCAAATAAACACGACCGAGTCGCCGCTGGACACCGACATGTTCCTATGAGTTTCCATCTGAGTCGCTGACACTGAAATATACAGACCAAGGTTACAGTAAAACTCAGTTCAAATCTGGATGAAAACATGCAAAAACAAGAAGAAATCTGTACAATACCTTCAAAGGCATTCTGCATTTTTAACAGCTGAATGAAGAGTAGAGATGCTTGCTTCAGATTGAACATGTTGACCATCTGACAGAAAGAACCAGACTGTCACTTTATCATCTGCTGCAAATGTAGACGCAGAGGAGGCGATAAGAAAGGGAAGTGGTTGAATGTTTTCTTTTTTAAACTGAGGCAAAGTAGCTATGAAAGAGTTGAGGAAGTCATGATCGACAGAATAGCAGGCTGCTGCTAAATCCAATAAAAATGAGTGGAGTATCAGATCCTGGCTTTATAGTAACCAGGATCTGATACTAAAAAAAAAAAAAAAAACTCTCAGTAGAGCAGATGTGCTATAGAGGGATTTAACTCCAGAACAAAATTTCTCTTGAATTTCCTGCCCTTGACTTGCATAAAACTTTTTCCAGCACATTAGAAAGACAAGGTAACTTGGACACAGGCATCAAAATTCTGAGTCATATTTTGCTGGAATCTCACACACGCCCCTCTATTGGACAACTACGGTAAAACTAATTAATCAAGTTCAGTGTTTCTCAATCCTGGCCAGCAGGGACCACTGCCCTGCATATTTTAAATGTTATACTCCAGCTCACCTGATTCAAATGATAGCATTATCTCCTGTGTCTCATCAAGTACTGTGAAAACATGTTAATAGCCCATTGATTCAGGTCAGGTGTGTGGCAGAAGGGAAACAGTTTCATTTGAGCAATTCCAACCTTTTGTTTAATAGTGATAGATCAGTTGTTGAAGGTTGTATTTGTATTTTTTAGATCTCACTGCCACAGTGGCATCTTCATTGAGGTTATAAAGATATTGATATTGAATTTATCAAAATTCATCACTGAGGTTAAAATTGTGATAAAATTTAAGATTACTTTTACCATGAGATCTGCTGTATCTCATTGACAAATGTTTGACAGTAATAACTAACTGGAGCTGATGAATTTGTGTTGGGACTAAATCTATAACTAGAACAAAAACTAAATAAACTTGTGTTTGAATGTTTTTGTTTTATTTTTTTTAAAACAATCTCTTTACCAGGATAATGTGAAATAAGTGCAAAAACATATTTACCACTTTTAAATTCTCCACAAATTCAATTTTAAAAGAACTGAACCATATGTTTGTGAAGTTCTGTGTCAATTCTGTGGTAACTCAACCACGCCCCCTGCTGGAAAGAAATAAGATAAAATTTCACTTGACAGATTTGACACTAAAATGAAATGAGTCTAATTGAACTAAATTTATTGTTAATAAAATAAACATTTTATGAATGTGCATTGAAAGCTTTTTCAGGACATAAAGGGACATGAAGCGTACCATTACTGAATATATGACACATTATAACATAAAAATACATTTAGAGGAAACATCATAAATCATTTCAGTTGCAAACAGGTTGCATGTTACAGATACATTAGATTGCATGTTTGAATTTCCAGTTTTAAGGATAACACTTTTTACTTCTTTTAAACTGGATCTTCTTCTTGATGAACCCTTCAAACCAAGGCGTAAACTAAATATATTTTGGTCAGTCATTTCCTGATTGGTGTGACGTACTCGTTGTTCGTCTTGTCATCAGAACTGCCCCCTCTTCCTGCTTGTCAGTTCTCCTCCATATTGCTGTAGTTTGTAATGGTGAAGGAACTGCCTACAAGGGTTTAAGGCAGGAAAAGAGCCAAGATTGGGGAATAAAATAAAAATTGTTAGTGTTGCAGAAAGTAAAGAACTTTGCTGGAATGAAAAACAAACTGCATGATAACAAAGTTCCTCTAACCTTCATCCCATCCAGAATGTTGTATTGCACCGTAGTAAATGTTCTGCTGTCCTGGTTTTGGTTTCTGGAAGTGTTCCTCCTGCTGCCATTAAATAATAACCAACGACTGGCACCATAAAACAATAACCTGCTGCGTCTATAAAACACATTGTTTTTATGAGAAGGAAATATTCACTTTATGTGATTTCTCTTCAGGAAGTGATCTACAGAACCAAAAAGACATTTCAATGGCTTTACTCATTAAAAGTTTTAATATATATTTTTTAATTTTCTTGGTAACTTTAGAAAACACTTTATTAGTTTTAAAAGAAGCATAAGTCAATAAGAGTACCGAATAATTCAGATGTTTTTTTTTTGTTTTTTTCTCAGAATGTTCCGGTTTGCATTGGCAATGAATGTAATGAATATTAGATTTAAAAAAGAAGAGCAGTCAAATAGATGATCAACATATTGTTATTATTATCAATGTGCTTCCTTTTGCATTTATTGTTTTTAAACTATATTAGTGGTCAACTTTATTATGAAATAACCAGTTTGAACAATTACAAATATGCTCTAAATAGAATCCCTGTGCCTGTAAATTCATTGAAAACTAAAAAAAAATATCTAAACTGTGCAGCATGTATAAAACTATTCAGTTGAAATTTCAAGGTAAATTGAGACTATTTGAACTTTAGAGCTTCATTAGAAGCAGAAAAAGTACACAGTATGTTTTCATTCTGTATTAAAAACTTAAGAGATTTCACTGACCTGTGGAGGCAGAGAGCTGTAGTCATGAAACATAAAATCAATCCGAAGGCAGATGGTAGTGTGAATATAATGTACTGTGATGAACTGGTTCCTAAGAAAGATGACCAACATGGCACACAAATTTTATTTTAAATGTTACACTGTGTGTTACAGAAAGAGTCAGTAAACGTTTACATACCGTTTTGATTTTCAAGAACTGTTACGGTCCATGTAATGTTGTTAAGGCCTTTTTTCTCAGTTATATGACAAGTATAAAGTCCTGCATCATCAAGCTGAGCACTATCAATGCTGAGAGTAGAAGGAATGTTTGTGTCTATTCTCAGTCTATGAGAGGAGAAATTTGAAAAAGTTCGATTATTGGAGAAGGAGTATGAAAAAAACATCTGTCTTTGGTCCATTGGATTATTGTTGTATTTTCATTAGATATATTGCAAGTGAGCAGGACTGAGTTTCCTCTGGACACCAACACATCGTAGTGGTCTGCTGTAGAGATCGCTGACATTGAAGAAAAAATATATTAACAAGACAACTTAATTTAAGAATCTTGCATAACAAGTAAAAATAGGCTCTATACCTGCAGATATGTAGTTTGTCAGTAACAGCTGAATGAAGAGCAGAGCAGCTTGCTTCAGGCTGAACATGATGATGTGAGGAGCAGGAAGATACTCTGTTATCTTATAATGTAGCAAAGGAGCTCAGTAAAGGAAGTGGCTGTTTGTGGTTCTTTGAAAAAAAAAAAAAAAAAAACCTTCACAGCAAGATGAAAAGTTTATTGGAAACTAATGTTCAAGTAGAGAAGTGAAATAAACTTGAATCTGTTTTATGAATAAGTAACAAAAACTGTCATATAAAGCTTCAACTCAAAGCAGAAGAAACTATTTCTGTTTGAGTTATTGTCAGAGTAACCACATACACACAAGACGAAACTCCCCCAATCCCTGTTTGGTCCATCTCATGTCATTTCTTCCTATTAAAGTTACTGACTAGTTATATCCAATAAAAACTCACCTCCTTTGTTTAATAACAAAAGACATGCTGTGTTACAGCATGATTTTGCTAGAAAGTTGCACATGCCCTCTACTGGACTAAATTTAAATAAACGAGTCAGAATATTTCATTTAGTTAAAAACCAGTTTCAGTTCATTGCAGGTTCTGGGTCAGAGATGACTGTAGAAGAAGACGAGCTTCTTGAGATCTGGTGTGACTGGGAAGTGGGAGTTATTAGCTTGTTTGGAGTTGAAGCCACACACATCTTTGTGCACATCAGTTATCAATACAAGCAGACAAAAACACTCCAATGAAGTGAGGTCAATCATTAAGTTCAGAAAATTAGCTCTAATTCACCCTAGAACATCCCTTTAAGAGGCTCTGTTTTTACCTGCCTAGAGTAGCTTCAGCATCTGGCGGTCCACTTTGTCACTGTTTTACTGGACAAATACGTACGAAGTTGATGCAAAACTAATTAACTCAAGCTCGGTGTTTCTCAATCCTGGCTGGCAGGGACCACTGCCCTGCATATTCTAAATGTTATACTCCAGCTCACCTGATTCAAGTGACAGCATTATCTCCTGTGTCTCATCAAGTACTGTAAAAATATGTTAATTGCCCATTGATTCAGGTCAGGTGTGTGGCAGAAGGGAAACACTTTAAAAATTCAGGGCAGTGGTCCCTGAGGACAAGCATTGAGGGCCATGACAGTACATGTTTACAATCCCGCATTATCATGTGGATCTATAAAGATCCTGAGCTTGGAAGGAATGTTTGAGTTTATTTTGACTTTTTTACAGGACAAATTTTAAAATGTCTGATGTGAATATGAAAAGATAGATCTGCCATTGTTCCAGTTGATCACCATGGTGTCATTCTGAGGTATGTTTCAAGTGAACACGACCGGGTCGCCGCTGGACACCGACATGTCCCACTGTGCTTAAATCTGAGTCGGTGATACTGAAATATACAGACCAATGTTACAGTAAAACTCAGTTCAAATCTAGATGAAAACATGCAAAACAAGAAGAAATCTGCACAATACCTATGAAGATATTCTGCAGTTTTAACTGAATGAAGAGTAGAGATGCTTGCCTCAGATTGACCATCTGAGAGTGAGAACCATGTTGTCACTTGATCGTCTTCTATAAATGTAAATCCAGGGGCTGAGCAAGGGAAGTGGCTCAATGTGACTTTAAAAAATTGAGGAAGAATGCCAATGAGTTCATGGAAACATCATTCAGATAAGAAAGCTGAGGAAAGTTTAAATAAATAATGTCAATAAACCGTTGTTTTAAAAATAAAAAAAATGCTTCCTTCTAGATGCTGATAGTTATTCCACTGAATCATTTTATGAACTAAGAATGCAAAAGTTTTCTTTATCCCAACATCTTTAGCAAACCACAACAAGCAGAACCTCCTCGTCTATGTGACAGATCTGTTTGTTTATCCTTCTGACGGACATTCAGCTGCTTTGGGGTGCAACAGTTCATTCTCTCCAGGGATGCAAAAGCTTCTCACGATACAGTGAGAAAACGAGGTTTCCTCATATCATGCCATCTCAGATCACATTTTGTGGCTCAAGCAGGAAATCCTCATAACACACCACAGAAACTGCAGACATCTACATAAATTTATGTTATGTTCTGCTACATTAAATGCAACGACAGAGCATGAAATAATTTACGTAATCCATGTTTCTCATGCATATTGTCTTCAGTTGCATTTGAGCAATTCCAACTTTTTGTTTAATAGTGATAGATCAGTTGTTGAAGGTTGTATTTGTATTTTTTAGATCTCACTGCCACAGTGGCATCTTCATTGAGGTTATAAAGATATTGATATTGAATTTATCAAAATTCATCACTGAGGTTAAAATTGTGATAAAATTTAAGATTGCTTTTACCATGAGATCTGCTGTATCTCAGTGACAAATGTTTGACAGTAATAACTAACTGGAGCTGATGAATTTGTGTCGGGACTAAATGTATAATTAGAACAAAAACTAAATAAACTTGTTTTTGGATGTTTTGTTTTACTTTTTAAAACAATCTCTTTACCAAGATAATGCGAAATAAGTTATTTACAATCAGATTCTTCCTTAAAAATAAATGTTAAAATATTTACTGCTTCTAAATTCTCCACGAATTCAATTTCAAAAGAACTGAGACATCTTTGTGTAGTTCTGTCAATTCCGTTTAAGCATAACATGATTGTAACTCAACCACGCCCCCTGCTGGAAAGAAATACGATAAAATTCCACTTGACAGATTTGATACTAAAATGAAATGAGTCTGATTGAGCTGAATTTATTGCTATTAAAATAAACATTGTATGAATGTGCATTGAAAGCTTTTTCAGAATATAAAGGGACACGAAGCGTACCATTATTGAATACTTGACACATTGTAACATAAAAATACATTTAGAGGAAACATCATAAATCATTTCAGAAACATGACACTAACATCATAAATTGTTTCAGTTGAAAACAGAGGTTAAATGTTACAGTTACATTAGATTGCATGTTTGAATTTCCAGTTTTAAGAATAAAATACATGTTATATCTTCCAAACTGGATCTTTTTGATGAATCCTTCAAACCAAAGTGTGAACTAAATATATTTACGTCAGTCATTTCCTGAGTGGTGTTATTTGCTTATTGTTCCTCTGGTCATCAGTACTGCCTCCACGTTGTCCTGCTTGTCAGTTCTCCTCCACATTGCTGTAGTTTGGAATGGTGAAGAAACTGCCTACAAGGATTTGTGGTAGGACAAGAGCCAAGTTTGGGAAAGAAAACAAAAGCAGGAATAAAAGCACTTTGCTGGAATGAAAAAAAAAAAATCAAACTGCATGATAAAGTTTCTCTAACCTTTGCCCCATCCATAATGTTGTATTGAACCCAAGTCAATGTTCTGCTGTCCTGGTTTTGGTTTCCAGATATGTTCCTCCTGCTAACATTAAACAATAATCAAAGAGTTTCACCTCAAAACTTTAAATTGATGTTCCTTTCTCAGTGTTGTTTTTACATCTGTAAAACACGTTGTTTTTCTGATGAGGAAATATTCACAGAAAGTGATCACGCTTTGGGTAAGAAATTATCCACAGAACCAAAAAACACATTTCTCTGGCTTCACTTATTAACAGTTTGAAGGTAATTATTTATTTATTTACTTATTTATTTTGGTAGTTTTAAAAATCAGAAGCACGAGTCAATAAAAGTCCACTGACCTGCAGAGGCAGAGAGCCGTAGTCATGAAAGATAAAAGCAATCCAATGGCAAATGGAAATATGATTGTAATATCCAGTGATGAACCGATTGCTGAAGAAAAAAAAGATTATTAACCAAAGATTAAAATTTAAACTTCACAGTAGATGTGTTGCAGATGTGTTCATTACATACCGTTTTGATTTTCAAGAACTGTTACATTCCATCTCATGCTGTAAAAGCCAGTTGTCTCAGTTATATGACAAAAATAAAGTCCTGCATCATCAAACTGAGCACTATCGATACTTAATGTAGAAGGTATGTTTGTGTCTATTTTCAGTGCGTGAGAGGAGAAATTTGACAAAGTTCGATTATTGGAGGAGGAGTATGAAAAAAAACATCTGCCTTTGGTCCATTGGATTAATGTTGTATTTTCATTAGATATACTGCAAGTGAACAGGACTGAGTCTCCTCTGGACACCACCAACACATCATAGTGCTCTGCTGTAGGAGACAATGAAATTGAAAAACTAATAATTATAGTTAAAATCTTAAAAATAAAAAAAAAACAGAAATTCACTCCTTACCTGTTGAGACACTCCAGATATTTACCAGCTGGATAAAGAGCAAAGCTTCTTGCTTCAAGAGGAGCATGATGTCCACCTACTTATGAGGAGTCAGATTTTCTGTTATCTGTTGCTGCTGTGAAGGAGTGCAGAAAAGGAAATGGCTATTTCCGTTTCTTTGAAAAAAAAAAAAACACCCTGTAAAGTAAGGTACAGCTCAAATGTTTATCAGAAACTAACTTCGGAGTAGAAAAGCTAAATAAACGTTGATCCATTTTGTTAATGAAGAGCTTTAACTCAAAGTAGAAAAATAAACTATTTCTGTTTTCTATAATTCTGCCAACGTTAGACACATTTAGAACATAATAAATATTAGACACAAGTCAAATATTGTGTCTAATAAGTTTTGAAGGCATAGCGTGACCTCGCTATGCCTTTAAAACAAACTTGTTGGTATGTTGTTGCATAGATTTTGTAATAATGCACATGTCTTTAGATCGTGGGAAGAAGCCAAAGAACGCAGAGGAGCCAAACATTCACAGAAAGAAACTCATACAACCCCTGTCTGTCCTAAGTCTATATTATTGTGTATCTAATTTAATATTTTGCTCTTAAAAATGCTGACTACACAAAGCCAACAAGCTCAGCTCCTTTGTTTCCTGTATTGATGTTTTACAGCATAGTTATGCAAGAAATCCTCTGCACTAAATCTAACAAAACTTCTACTGCAGTTTGACACTCCGGTAAAGTCACAAAAAGTCGTTATTTTATTTAAGTTAAAAGACTCATTTTAAGTATTTATACAGACAGTATTTCAAAGAAAAATGTCCCATTGATTAGCATACAAACACACATCTAGTTTAATAAACTTCAAATTAGGATAGGCTGGGATAAGAATCCTGTTACTGAGGGTAAGTATTGCAATGAGGAAACATCACAGGTCCATCTGGTACCAGTAGGTACCACTGGAGCACACAGCAGGGTGCCAGAGGGCAGAAAGGTGGATGTGATGAACGTGACCCGGGTAACGGAGATATGTAGCAAGAGAGTCACTCTGTACTCTTTATAACTTTGGCAGAGTTCAGAAATTACCAATCTAATCTGAGATATAGAAATAAATGTCTCTTTTTATATAGTAATGGGATTTCTCATGATCAAGTGCCCGGTTTTCCATCATTACATTTTCTCTTCTCGGTCAGATTTGGGATGAATGGTGAACTCTTCATGATGGAATCAGTTTCAGAAACTGAGATGAACTGGAGGCCCAGCGTTTAGTTTTAATGCTATGTAACAAAAACACACACACACACACACATGAAATTAAATTTTAGTTGCCTAAGAAGCTTATGAAGTTTAATTTTATGGGGTGAATGATTAAATGGCGACATCCAGAGATTATTAGTTGTTATCAGATGCAACTAGTTCCATGCAACCGGTTTTACACGACCTCAGTAGCTCTGCATCTGACTGTTCCCTGGAAATTATTCATGTTTCAGTTCTTCCTCTCTGACACATTTTCTCACTTTCTATCTGCCTCCCACACGTATTTTGTCATCTTAAGGACATAAACTTCTTTGCATTTTTAACAATACAGCAGTGTCAACATATTGATAATAAAACTGATCAGTTTACTGTCTGTCACAATGCCTTATCAGAGGACTAGATGTACCTTCATCTTACCATGGACAAGAAAACAATGTTTGGCAGACTGGCATCCAGTTTAGAAAATAGACTCAGAGTAATAATAGTGTTTGCAAATGAGAGAATGTGGAAAAAGACTCGACACAATCTTTATTCCCCGTCAGGCCGTTCAGAAGGACGCCACCTGCCCTCTGCTGGGCATAAGTTGTACTACACTGCATTTAAGCAGTGAAATAAATTCAAATGAACAGGAATTAATAACTACGTTGCTTCTCTTATACAGTTGAACTTCCCCATAAAGTACATCGTGGTGACAAATATTCTGCATATTACAGACAATGTGTAAAGACATATATGTTGTTGATTTGTGACTTTCTTTTATTGACATGTTAAACACCTCCTTTGTTAAATAACAATAATAATGTCCTTCAAACCGGGTCTCTTTCTTCAAGTAAATTAAAGAAGTCTGAGCTCAGACTTGACCGTAGACAGAATTCAGTCTTTCCATGTAGTCTCTTCTGTGCTTTTTGCTCCTCCACTGACCTGTACCTTCCAGCTGATTGTGGACTTCCTGCAGCCAAAAGACAGAGTCGCAGTTAGAGGTCAGAGGAGCCAAACAGCGGAAGTACGCAGAAAGCAGAAGAACAAGAAATCACACTGTTTAATAGACAAGAATACAAGTGCTGATGAAATATGAGGAGGTCAGGGGTCAGAGATGACTATAAAAAAAACTTCTGATGAGTTGTGTTTGTTTGGAGAAGTAGCCACACTCATCCCTGTAGCTCTGCCAGTTATCAGTGCAAGCAGACAAAAACGGTCCAATAAAGACGGAAGTGAGGCCAGTGGCTTCAAATACACTTTAGTCTCCAAGTCAGAAAGGCAGAATTAAAAGTATGCAAATCACATAAATTATTCTGACCTGTCCTCCCGATTGAAGCTGAGACTGGTGTTGGACTGGTTTCTGTCTTTCTTTTCTGGTGCCACATTTTCTGCAGAGATAAAACAATAACCATTAATCTTCATAACTATTCTGGTACTACTTTGTAAAAGAGACTAACAAGGTCAGGTAACACGTTGCATAATAAGGCTATTTTGAAATTGCTGGCATTCCCATAGTAATAGATGTAATAAGTCAGACATAGCACAAAAAAAAAAAAACCCTTGTCCACAAAGCATCCAGATGGTTCATTAATAGTCAGATTCTAATATCTGATTTCTAGTTCTGAAAATTACAATCACATGATTGTCTGTTCAAAACCAAATGCAGAGTTGGGAAGAATAGTTATAAATTTTACTCAAGTAAATGTAAAAATATATTTTGTATAAATGTTTCTTAAGTAGTGAGTACTTGAGTAATTCTGTTTAATCTGATTTAATTTGTGAAATTGATGTAGTTGTACAGACACAACATTAAATTCAGTGGAGGCTTTAGTACGTAAAAAAAGTAAAAAAAAAAAATATATATAAAAATGCTTAAAAAATAAATGCAAAATAATAAATGAGCAAATAAATAAATAAATAAATAAATTTCCAAATTTCAGTTTTCCACAACATACAACTTCTAAAACCTAACAGTGAAAAGTGTTATAGTGACCTCATTTGATGTCAGGATTGTTGTGAGTTGATTTGGATATTTGTTGTTAGATTCTGTTACCTCCCTATTTTATCCTGCTGGCTTTTTGGTCTGGATTCCTGTTTTAGTTTGACTCTGGTTCCCTGTGGTTTTATTGTAAGTTTTTTTTTTTTCATCGTTTTTTTTTTTTTTTTTACTAAACATTCTTCATTTAAAAGCTGCCTCCGTCTCTCCTCTCTGGATTTGGATCCACCATCAAACCCAGATCATGACATGTACCTTTATTTGATCTTCAAAGGGAACACCAGGCTCAGGAGACAGAAAATAACAGAACAATAACATCTATTAACAAACCAAAAGCCTCACCAGACATTTCTGTCTGAAGAATTATTAATTAATGTTTACGCATGTCATTCAGTGAGATTCAAAAGAGCTGATTGGAGTAGCCAGAAATTGTACCTGACAGTAAAGTTACTTTTATATATTACTCAAGTAAAAGAAAAAAAGTGCTGTACAGAAAAAATACTCCTAAAAGTTATTTTTTCTAAAAAGCTACTGAGGTGAATGTTACCTAAATCTACCCACATGGTCTTTAAGGGTGAAATTGTCTGTTTAACCGATTATGTACATATTTTTCAAATTATAACTTCAAAATGAGTCTTCTAGTTGTCTTTCTTTAAATTATATTGACATTTTGTGTGCTCAGCTACACATGCAGTCACATTCCATAATTAGATTATGTGATGATTGTTTGTCATGTTAAAAGTACATAGAACTACCTTTAATGACTTATTCAAGATATTTTTCAGTAAGCCCATACTGCTGTATTAGTTTTTTTATTGGTGTGAAGTAATACTATAATCTTAAATACATTAATTCTGATATTACCAAGGAGCAGCGGTATAATTTCTACTGCTGGACAAGAAATA